ACACGCGCTGTCGCCCCAGTCCTAGGCCCTCAGCTGGGTTTTATAAAACCTTTTCGCTTTAGGCCTCCACTGCCATGTACAAAAAAAAAAGGTTCAATCAATCAATCAATTTCAACTTCTCACAGGAAAAAAAAGATCTTGCAAAGTTGGAATTGATTGATTGAACTTTTTAGTCCCACCCAGTCTGCTGTTACCACCCAGTGGGCCACGCCCACCCAGTGGGCCACGCCCACCCGGCACCCGATGATACATAAGTGGGTTTTGGGTTGCAGTTTGGGCACTCGGTCTCTAAAAGGTTCGCCATCACTGCTATAGAAGATCTCCATGTACAGAAGAAGAATCAAGCAATTTGAAATTGAGAATCATTGGCTGCAGGCTGACTGAAACTATAGACTTGGTACCAGCAACTGGTTGGTAGCACTATGGAGATAGGAACTGGGTTGTCTATCACACTTAACCAAGTCAGTTAAAGACGGAGGTGCCATTTTACCCAATAGGCTATGCTTTATTAGGTTTAACCTTTTCTTTGTAGCCTAGCAGGGTATATGAAGTCAGCCAGTAGTTTATGTTTCAGCATTTTGTGTTATCCTACAAAAGAGTCAGGGCTTTTTTTTTGTCATAGAACGCTCAGAACCTTGTAGGGTAGGCAAGGCGGGTTGTATGACATGTGTGAGTTCTGGCACCTTTTTTTTTTTTTTTTTTTTTTTTACAAAAAAAGCACTGAAAAGAGTAATCAGTAAACCTATGGCCATGTTGAGGACATCAAAATGGAATGCGACCACATGCTTGCAGGATGCTGATTGAATAGTACTTTGATACATTTCCCCAAGTGTTATCTGGAAAAGACACTATTGCTTCAGCATTTGCAGCTCTGGCTTTACGGAGTGCTCGCTTCTCTTGTGCCAAGATTGTCCTTCTGTGTTCATATGTCTGGCAACCCTGGTAGAACATTCCGTGCTAACATCGGTCTCATCAGCCATCTACGGACACACCGCTGATGGCCCATAATCCATAAGATGTCAAGGTCTTCATTGAAATCGATGGACGAACAACATCTGGAAAAGAGCCTCCATCTTCTTCCCCTTTGGAATGGCTACACAGAACTAGTTTTGATTCTCACAGGAGAATGTCCCTAAAACATGTCTGTTCTCACTTGTATCGGTGTCATGATTTCACTACTACTTACATGATTAACTAAAAACAAATCTGAGACAGCAAAAAAGAAAAGCCTATTTTTTTTAGCCCTCAAAGCATTTGCTTTTGATATAATACCTTAGAAGCTCAATACCTATAATTTCTACTGATTTTAAAGGTTAACAATACATTGCATCTCAGCTACAGTTTTTGTTTTAAATGTTTAGGAGAGGAGTCCCTGAGATTCTCAGCATATTGATGTAAAGGAGAAAGTGAGGAAAGATCAAACAAGATCATAAATGATTATTGGCTTATGGCCTTGAAGTTCAACAGTTACATTATCTACCTACTTGTGCAATTTAAAAGCTTTTCTGAGGTTCTCTAGCCAGTTAGGAGCATTTAGAGTGACTTTGCCATTCTTTTTCTCCTTGATTTATGATGCTGTGGATAATTTTCATTCTTAACCTTGAGGTCATATTCTGCCATGGCTTTCACACTGCATATTTCAGAATTTCCAATGAGATGAATAACAAGTCTCTGCCTTGAAATTTGCATGCAATTAACATTCTGTTCCTCTCAGAGAGTAAATTTGCTATTAGAATGGTAAGTGATATACAGAAGACATATAGTAAAATCAGAGCACTCTATGTTCCAAGCTTGCTTTTACATTACTCAGACTAAATACTTTCAGAATACAGTAATGGTACTGCAACCAACACCCACCTAAACCATTCAAGATTAGATAAACAGCATTTTAAAGAAAAGGCCAGGTGAATTTTATGGATGAGGAAGTTGAGCATTGAAGCAAAAGTTTCATTTCTAATTACAGAAACATTTCTGTTTTAAGGCAAGGGACGGCTCTAAATCACTGCCAGCTTTTATGAAAAATTTAAATATTTCTTTATTGGCTCATGCTTTCTGTGTAATGAGTGTTAGTTTCAATTCTGAGTTCTGTTTTCTCTTTACTTCTAGTACTGTGAAGAGTCTTTTATTATTATTCTCTTTTGTTGGTTTTATTGTGCTAATCCTGAAAGGCAGCACAGAATGATCTGAAATAATCTTGGTATCTTTCAGAACAGTTTTGCCCATCCTGGCATTCTGGATCTATCAATAACAGTTCTAGAGTTGTAGTCCCAAAACTCTATAGAGCACTGGATATGAAAAACTGCTCTAGAAAAATGCAGGCAAAACAAAGAAACAAAAAAAAAAATATAAACCTATTCCTAAATACTATTCTGTTTCGCACGAAGCAATTACGCAGTGTAGAAAAGAGGTAGAAGTAATAAATAAATAAATGACTGGAAGCAGGAGATAAAGAAAAGAATGAATCTAAAGTTATCTGGAAGTTAACTTCCATGGCAATTGGACTCCTTTTCTTTTTGGTTTGAAATTTAAGCAGCAAAAAGTTTCAAACCGAAAAGAAAAGAAGTCCAGTTGCTGTGACTCAACTTCCAGACAACTCTACCTGGATGACAGAGGATCTTCAACAACATTATCTAAAGTTAGTTTACACCGGCATCAATTATCATAGATCACTCGCATACATTTCCTGACTGTTAGAACAACCAACCAATGGAATGACTTGCCTCCAGAGGTTTTGAATGCTCCAACACTGGAAATGTTTAAGAAGAGATTGGACAACCATTTGTCTGAAATAGTATAGGTTTCCTGCCTAAGCAGGCGGTTGGACTAGAAGACCTCCAAGGTCCCTTCTAACTCTGTTATTCTCTAATTCATACCCCTCTATCTTTGCAAACCATCTTCCCTCCTACCACTATATTTCATCCATAGCATTTTTTTAATCTTCTCACCTCATTTTTTTGAGGATCTCATCGGTTCCTTCCAACCACAGCTTCCTTGGTCTCCCCCTTCTTCTTAGTCCACTCACTCTCCCTTCATAGATTAATTTAACCATTTGATCTTTGTTTATTCTTTCTGTACGACTGACCCATCTGCGTTATTGTTTTGCAAGCTAAGATTTCTACACTAGAAACTAAAGTAGTGCTGTTGCCTGCATGCCATCACTAGAAGAAACAAATTGTACTGACAGGCACTCAGGATACAAGAGACTAATATAAAATAAACTCAGCTGTACTTGAATATGTATGACATACTACCTACAGTGATTCTAATTTTAATGAACCAAAAACTTGTTAAACTGCATGTTATCCAAAAACAAAGCAAAATGACAATAGCAACAAGTTAAGAATTAAGGAAACCAAAAAACTGTTATTTCTCATTGAAACTATCATTATTCTATTTTCTGTGGGTTTCAAACAGTGACAGTATTAGCTGTAGCAGAAGTAGAGATGTGAGTGCATGCCGGTCCAGAGCTGGTTCTGAAGCTGTACAAAATCTTTGGGGGAGGTGCCCAAGGAGGCCTAAAAGAGAAATCATGTCTTGCACCCACACTGTGTGTGGTTTTCAATGTGCAGTGCAGCTGTTGTCACTAGTAATGGAATTGCTGGTCCCAATTGTGGGCAGTAAGCAAGGACTACCTGTAGGTAGGTTGGACATCATATTAAACTTACATACCTATTTATTGATTAAGCCTAACTAGTTCACACATAGCATTAACCCATAAAGCACAAAGAGGACGTTTATTTCATGTACTGAACTGAATCCAAAATAATCCAAAATACATTAATCGCTCATTATGACCTAGAATGACATGTTCCTCTAATAATTCTATCAAGTTAACTATAACAATTTCATTTATTGCTATTTGCTAATATAAATATTTTTGCTTACTTATTCATTTAAATGTATACCTCTATACCCTACCATCCAGACGATCTTGAAGTAGGTCACCATTTCTTAAAACAAGATTAAATAATACAAACATGTAAAATAAAGATGTTAATTAATTAAAGAGTCCACTGGGTAGAGGAAAAGGAGAAGGAGGAAGAGAAGGAGGAAGGGGGGGAGGAGGAGGAGGAGGAGGAGGAGGAAGAAGAAGAAGAAGAAGAAGAAGAAGAAGAAGAAGAAGAAGAAGAAGAAGAAGAAGAAGAAGAAGAAGAAGAAGAAGAAGAAGAAGAAGAAGAAGAAGAAGAAGAAGAAGAAGAAGAAGAAGAAGAAGACATGTACTCTGAGAACCCCACACAACAGTAATTGTGCCTAATACTATAATTAGGCACTTAAGGCATGGATAAGAAGTCCTGGCAGTGAGAGTAAAATGCCAGGCTTCTGGTGTCAGACACAAGAAACAGAAGTAGCAACCTCATCTCCAAAAGAATGTCATAAAAGAAAAAGCTTCTCTTCCATCCTCATTTTCTAATTCATGAGTAGATAACCTTTCTTCAGTTAAATTTTGTGCATCTTTCTTCCTGCGTCTGTGTGCTTAATGAGCACTCATTAAGCTACTTCTTTACACGCAGAATAAATCTAAAGCAGAAGGGCAATGAGGACATTGCAGTCCTTCTAATTTTCCTTATATATTCAGGATGGAGTCTGTTGAAAGTTAAAAAGCGGGCCGGTTGCATCATGCTGAGGCCGCGCCCACCCCAGCTCCGGTAATGCAAAAAAAGTCGCGACACATTACGTGACATGGCAAGTTTGACACACGTGTTATAGAGGAACTGCTTGCCTCACTTGTCCCACTGAGTTCCTCCATAAACTGCCCAATATTTACAATCCTAGAGTTTACACCTTACAATTTCACAGCATTTACATGTCATAAACTTTGTTCATCTGTAAGTCTATGCTATAATGAGCTTGGTTATATTTACTGTAAGGTATGGTCTCTCACTCATAATAGTTTCGGTTTTTGTGTGAACCAGAGCAAAATATCCTGCACTTAGAGCCTAACTGTATTACAATATGGTGTTAAAGTATAATAAAAATACAAGTTTTAGTTGAAGCATTACCTGCACCAGTACAAAGAACCTTTTCTTCCATCTCTTCCAGACATTTTTGCCGATGGCCCACAAATATCTGTAAAAGCAGCAAGGAAAACTTCATTAGGGTTTTTTTTTTAATAAATAAGAACCTCGTTGTTTGCATCGGGCAGTTTTTACTGGAAACTGCAACTAAACACCGGTTTTAGCAAAAAAAAATTAATGTTGTAAATAGTGTTGTGACTATAGGATCCTGCAAACAGCCATAAATTATCAAACCAGTTGCCAAGCCCCCAAAATGTGATCACATGACCCCAGGGAGAGGGGAGTGGTGATCTTTTAACTTGATGACTGGCTTAACTGCTACTGTGGTTTCTGCTATGGAAAAGAGAAGTGAACTAATCTTTTAGTATTCTCCTATAGGAGAAGGAATGACAGAATCTGGGGGTGGAGTCAAAAGAGTGGAATAATAATCATAATAATAATAATAATAATAATAATAATAATAATAATAATAATAATAATAATAATAATAATAAACGTGGAAGTGCCTGGAGACAGCAGAATAGACGAGAAAGAACTGTAGAAGATAACAAAATACAAAGACCTACAAATAGAAATAGAACGAGTGTGGCAAAGGCAAGCAAGGGTAGTACCAATAGTAATAGGTGCCTTGGGTGCAATCCCAAAACAACTTGAGCACCACTTGAACACCATGGGCATTCTTTGTTGCAACCTCTGAGAAATTGGAACACTGCTATCATGTCACTCCCAGTCCTTCTCTTCATTAAAGTAGACATACCCAATTCCAGCAACCGTTCTTCATGTGTTTTAGCCTCCAGTCCCCTAATCATCTTTGTTGCTCTTCTCTGTACTCTTTCTAGAGTCTCAACATTTTTCTTACATCATGGTGACCAAAACTGGATGGAGTATTCCAAGTGTGGCTTTACCAAGGTGTTGTAAAGTTGTATTAACACTCCATTAATATAGAGTGACTCTAGACTGATTCCTCTTTTGACTCCAACTCCAGGTTCTGCCAATCCTTCTTTTACATCCCGCTAGTCTCCATCTCCAATAATCAGTTGTTCTACATTAAGAAAGGGGCATCAATATTCCTTCTTTTCCTTTGCACTAAAAAAAACAAACTTCAATTTATTTGTCTGGAATCTACCACAATATTCCTTCTGACAGGTACTATTTCACTTGCAAATTTCGTTAGATTACATTCTGTCTCAGACAAGAAAAAATACTGGCATTTCTTAAAAATCCAATTGTAAAGGACCATAGTTGGAAAATGCCAGCAGTGAACAGACTCTGATTACAATTCGACAATATAGCTGGTGTTAGCTAAGAAAATATGAGCGATTAAATTTAATTAGAATATGCTGATGGTCATTTTAAAACAGATAAGACAAATTTGTGGAACATAAACATATGAATGGCTATCTGTTTTAAAATGACTATCAGCACATTCTAATTAAATTTAATCACTCATATTTTCTTAGCTAACACCAGCTATGTTGTCAAATTGTAATCAGAGTCTGTTCACTGCTGGCATTTTCCAACTATGGTCCTTTACAATTTGATCTTCATGATGGGAAGTCATTGTACATTTGCTTCCTAAACATTATATGGAAAGAATAGAGCATGGCTGTTGCATTATATCCTTCCAGTAAGCTTCACCTTTATTTATTTTTATTATGTATCAAATTTTTGTATTGTCCATCACACTTGCATCCCTCCGGGTAGTTTACAAATAAAATGGAAAAATCATATAAAAGCTGTATTATTTGGCACAGTGGTTAGAATGCAGTATTTCAGGCAAACTCTGTCACAGCCTGGAGTTCGATCCTGATGGGGCTCAAAATTGACTCAGTCTTCCATCCTTCTGAAATTGTAAAATGAGGATCCAGATTTGGGGGGGGGGCAATATGCTGACATTGTAAACTGCTCATAGAATGCTGTTAAGGCACTATGGGATAGTATATACATCTAAGTGCTATTGCTATAGTTAAAAACAAAGTTTAAAAAAACCAGATTAAAACAAAGTTAAAAAGAACAATTACAGAGTTAAAAGGCAGAAGAAGAATCTTTGGCCCACCAGCTACCCCTAGAGTTTCATGGCACTCTTGAATTGCCAGGCAAGTTGGCAGAGCCTGGTCTTAATGTTTTGCCAGGAGGCCAGGAAAGCAGGGGCCTGTCTCTGGGCAAGCTGGGGGAATGCAACAGGGAAGGCTTTGTTCCTAGATCCCATCAGTAAAATTCTTTAACTGACAGGGTTTGTAATATGCTTTCCCTCTCTGCCTGGGTGTGAGGGGTCAAAGAAATCGGGACAAGATGTTTCCTCAAATGATCTGGCCCTATGCTTTAAAGCAGGGATCCTCAACCCCCAGTCTGTGGACCAGTACCGGGCTGCGGCATGCCAGCAACCAGGCCGCACAAACAAGCAAAGCCCCATCTGCAAGATACAGGCAGCACACAGAACCACACATCCTGCGGTCCGCAGAAAAATCTCTCTCCAAGGAACCAGTACCTGGTGCCCAAAAGATTGGGGACCTCTGCTTTAAAGGTAATAACTAACACTTTAGATTGGACTCAGAAGCAAATTGGCACCCAGTGCAGTACATGTAACAGAGGTTATATTATAACTCATTGGCTGTCATTAGTGACAAAATGCTGAACAGATGATCCAGAAAAGTAACACCTATGTTTTTATTGCAAAGTGGGATAAAAGAGACATACCAATGGGGCTGGATTAGATTAGAATCCCATGAAGATGTATATTATATCTGGTGAGAGATTAGAATATTATTTTCATACTGCTCTCCATTCCACCATACATGTCTTACCTTCAGTGCTACTCTTTAAAATGTAGGGATAACATCTAAATGGAAAAGATGCATAAAATACAAACTATTGCATGTAAGGGTGGATTATAGTCAATGATTATGCAACATGTTTATGTGAATAAAATTAAATTTAATAAACCAATAATTCATTCATAATTTACAATTTGATAACAATAATTAATAATAACTAATACTTCCCCTTTAAGACTTACAAATGCAACATTGGAGGGTACAAAGGTATTGTAAGTCTGCCCTTCTGCTCTGTGTGAAAAGACTGAGTGTGAGTAAAGCTCTTCTCTAACATGGTTCAGGAACAATTCAGAAATATTATTTTATGTCTATATATGGAAGATAAAAAGCCATAAAGAGCCAAACACTATTTCAATTTGTTAGCTCATGTGAAAAGTAGCAATACTTACACATTCCACTAAACAATTTTAATTGAATTCCTCATAGGAAATATAGAAAGAGACTCCATAAAGCCAGTCCATAAACTGAGCACATTTTACTTAAATTACCTCTAAAAAAACCCCCTAAAACAATAACTACAGGAAAGCATAATTAAAAAAAATCTCATATGCCCTCTTTTAAATATTAAGCATTTCTATTTGCGAAGCTGTTTCTTTTGTAGAATCAATGTGATCTTTCTGTAAGCAGATTTCTTGTTATATAATATAATATGATTTACATTTATAAGTTGCTCCATTTCACCATGATGCTGGCTGGTGAACAGTATGAATTTTAAACAGTCCAATACAACCAATACCAAAAGCTAATATTTGAAAAAAATAACACAAATTGCAACGAAGAAATTGTCTCCACAGGGGATTTGTCACCCACTCTAACCCAAGATCTGGGTTTTAAGAGCTCATCTGAATAACGTCTGAATGGAGGCCATACAACACAGTGCTAGGCTGCATTAACAGGGGGATAGAATCAAGATCACGTGAAGTGCTAATACCACTTTACAATGCCTTGGTAAGGACACATTTGGAATACTGCATCCAGTTTTGGTCACCATGATGTAAAAAAGATGTTGAGACTCTAGAAAGAGTACAGAAAGAGCAACAAAGATGATCAGGGGACTGGAGGCTAAAACATATAAGGAACGGTTGCTGGAATTGGGTATGTCTAGTTTAACGAAGAGAAGGACGAGGGGGGACATGATAGCAGTGTTCCAATATCTCAGGGGCTGCCACAAAGAAGAGGGAGTCAAGCTATTTTCCAAAGCGCCTGAAGGCAGGACAAGAAGCAACGGATGGAAACTAACCAAAGAGAGAAGCAACCTAGAACTAAGGAGAAATTTTCTGACACTAAGAGCAATTAATCAGTGGAACAACCTGCCTCCAGAAGCTGTGAATGCTCCAATACTGGAAGTTTTTAAGAAGAGACTGGACAGCCATTTGACTGAAATGATATAGGGTTTCCTGCCTGAGCAGGGGGTTGGACTAGATGACCTCCAAGGCCTCTTCCAACTTTATTATTATTATTAAATCTTTGGGGGAATGTCATTCTAGAGGGCAGGAGCTGTGACATAAAGGGTCTGCTTCTTGGGTTCTATCAGATGACACTTTAATTGATAGGACCAGGAGCATGTCCACCTGACTAGATCATGTGCAATGGGCAGAAACTATGGAAGACAAGTCCCTTGGATTACCAGGCTGTATGCCATGAAGGCCTTTACAGGTAATACTCAGCATCTTGAACTGCACCCAAATCCTACTGGTAACCAGTGCAGCTCATGTAGCAGAAGTGTTATGCAGGCCTACCATGTGTGAGAGAATGAAACTGAGGTTGCTGTCTTCAGCCGAGCAAAAATGCTTCCCACACCCACTTGCCCAAGGAATGGCTCAGCACATTGTTTCTCCCAAAGGCCAGTAAATGTTTACAGCTCCAGGAGCCTGAGAAGAGATGTGTTTGTTCATTCATTCATTCATTCATTCATTCATTCATTCATTCATTCATTCATTCATTCATTCATTCATTTCTTCCACTCATGGTTGACTCATAAGCATCCATGCCAGTGTTCCAGGTGTCTAGCTAATTGAGCCACAACCTGGCATTTTTAGGAATGAGCTGACATTCTTGCGCAGCTTAACCCTCTATGGAGTGGGGTAAAGCTACAAAGTATGAGAGAAAAAGAAGATAACAAGCAGATTAGGAAGCAGGAAATGATGTTTGAAATGTATGATTCACACAGGCAAGCAAATTGTGGTCAACTGCCGGGATGATACAGCTACAGTAAACAACCAATTGTGGTGTGATTCCTGCCTGAAGCTTGGCATTGAGCTCAGTAGGAACCAGAAGCAGAGGAATCACACTGAGCAGCACTTAATCCCAACGAGATTAAACAAGGTCAAATCCATTTTACAAACTTTAAGACTTTTATTTGTTATAAGGGCTAACAATCAAAGATTTATTTGTATGGCTGTATCAGTTTGCAAAAGCTAGGAGCATGGAGTCAACCCAATAGGAAAGGTGTGAGTTACAATGAAGTGTTTTGTAGACTTATCTTCTACAGTGTGGTGTGTCCAGTCTTAGAAAACAAAGAACCCTGACATAATTCCCCATTCAGAGCCAGCTGCAGTCTCTCAGTGGTCTACAAGGGCTGCCCCATGTATTGAACATTGCAGTATACAATCATGAGGTGATCAAAGTATGAATGGTTGTCTAAAGTGCTTCCCAATTATGGTATGGGCACAACTGGTACACTAGTTGAATTTATCTGAAGATTTCCCTGGCTGTTGTGTTACTCCAAAAAGTCCTCTAAATTTTGGCCCAGTTCAGAAGGGGAAAGTGTGATCTTATTTAGGACTAAAGAGGGCCATCACTTGGGTTTGGGTGTGAGCTTGTTCCTTTCCCTCCAGACCTGCACAGCCTCTATCATTATTTCAAAGACCTTGATAACATGTTCAGAATATTATATGCATAATTATGACAGCACAATCAGGATATTTAAAGAAACAGGTTATCATTATTATGAATACTCTGCTTATACAGTAATGAATTTACTATTGCAAAAATGCAGTGCAAGAAATAAAATATAGGAAAATTACACTGATTTATATTTTTAAAAACTCTTTATTGTTCATTTTTGAGAATAATAATAATAATAATATTCTTAGTTCACATGCAGGATAGAAAGGAGTGATTATTTTCAGAGGGCATTTAGTTTGAAATATTAAGAGAGATAAAATGTGCTAGTAAATAACATGTCAAACATTCTCCACAAGATGAAAATTAAATCTCATTGATTCAGTTTTTAAGTTCATGCAATCTGGGAGAAGAAGATGACATTTTTCAATTATTATAATACTGGAAAATATGGTAACATGCAATCACTGTAATTTGCAAAAAAAAATAAAAAATCACTTACCCAGAATGTTTCATATTCTGAGGTTTATCCATTCGGACAGCAAGCTTGATTTTCAGGTCTTGATCAGGACAGTTTTTGGAAACAGCCATTTTGTGCCATTCAGATTGTTTGGGGCTATTTGGTGTCGGATGAAGAACAACCTGAAGACAAAGTTTTAACATGCAGAGATTTAGAGTGCATGTATGTGCAATCCATAGCAGATGCTATGGATATATATCTCTCAGAATTATTTTGCTCCCAGATAAGAGTTCCTACAATAGCATCATCATAAAAATGATGTGAATTTTCATTGTTGCCATATCCGTCCAATGAGAGGTAAGGTAAATGAGATATGGAACTGTCACATCAGTCCAATGACAGGTAAAATAAATAAATGTGCTACTCCACCAAACAGCATTATATAGCTTTGCCACCTTTTTTTTTTAGGATCTACAGTGTAATTCCGTGACTGGGCAGGATGATTGCACCAAAAAAAGTCTTGTGTGAAAGTAACCTTTTCTCAGCATTACGAACTCTGCTGCTACTTAAAAGAGGTTATATTGGTCCACCATAAGCCTAATGGTTTATGGTTTGACTTTGAATGCATAAGGTGAGAATTAGATTTCTGTGTCATGGCATGTCAAGGAATATATGCATTTGTCATTTGGAGACAGTTGCATAGCTGTTGCATTTATACTTCTGCAAATGCTAACGTTCCAGCTAGGGAGGCATTAGAAAACTTCTCAATAGGAAGTCGGGAAGCACAGAAAACTTCCCAACAGGAAATTGGATCAAATGATCAGCATATAGGATTTGCACCTCCGCCCAACATATAGTTGAGATTTGGGAGGTGTGCGTGTTGACTCGTCTGCAACCATTTGCAATCTAGGCTTACCTGACAACCCCTTCATAGCACAAGCATGCATTGTCACCTACGCACACTTCCAGACAAGTTTAAAACATGCTTAAGCCCAATTTACATCATGACTCAACATGACACAGGAACTACGTTAATAGTGATTTCAGCTGAAAACTGAGAAGTAGCACAAAAGAGAGAAGAATTCCAGTCTGTCATATCGAATTCCAGTGTGTGGTTTGGAAAGGCAGCATTCAAGAATCCATGTAGGGATCTACTCTGAAGTAACTCTACATGTTGGTCCTAGTTCTTGGGGGCCTCACAGCCCCTCCCCCTTTTTACATGTATTGTGACGCAAGACCAACCCACTAATCTTAATCTGTGCTAATTTGTATATATCGCTTGTTCTTCAAATACTCTATAATACTCATTACTTATTTTATTGGGAGGTATAAAATGGAAGACATTCACAAAAGATAGAGTCTTGGAATTGAGAGTACTGCAATAAATTTTGGTTGGTCACAAGCATACGCAATAATAATAGTTTTAAAAAGTCATTAAACAAAGAGAAATACATTATCAATGAAGGAGAAATACATTAAACAGAACTGTCTAATGTATTTAGTTCTGTTCTACAGAACTGTCATACTTTAATATATTAAACATGAAGAGAAGAAAAGCAATTGAGGTCAAATTCAAGGGGTGGAAGTTGATTTTATTGAATGAAATATAGTTAATGTAGCTAAATTATCATCTGTGCTGGAAATGAAAAAACAAAGAAAAGTTTCAAGGATTAACCCATACATAAAATGATAGAAAGTTCAGAAGATCAATATAAGAATGTGCATTTTGTCCCAATATATTGATAATATATACTGAATCAGAAAAAAGAGCTAAGTGAAGCACGAGAGCATGCCTTCATTTTGCAGACTCCTACTTCTCCTATTTGCAGTTTCTCACCTTTCTCTTCTATTCCTTGCATTTTTAAAGTGTGTGTGTTTGTGTATGTGTATGTGTGTATATATATATATATATATATATGTGTGTGTGTGTGTGTATGTGTGTGTGTGTGTATATATATATGTATATATGTATATATGTAATTGCATTTCCAAATATATACTGAAAAAAGAACTGAAACCAGAATTTCTATTACTAAGCCAGGCAATTGTTCAGTGGATCATCTCAGATTTTATGATCTTTTTTTTTTTTACTATAGTTGTTAAGCAAACAACTGCAGTTGTAAAGTGAATCATGCAATCATTAAGCAAATCCAGCTTCCCCTATTGATTTTGCTTGTTGGAATGGTGGTAACCTCAATACATGCTCATTGCCAAACAGCCCAATTTTGATCACATGACCATGGGGAGGCTGCAAACGATCATGGGTGCAAGGACTGGTTGTAAGTTCCCTTTTTCCAGTGCCATTGTAACTTTGAATGGCCGCTAAACAAATGGCTGTAAGTTAAGGACTACTTGTAACTTTAATTATTCTATATTTGTAGGCCATTCAGAATCTCTGGAAGTAGAATAATATATAAGCTAAATTAAATAATAATTTAGAGAAACATTCCTTTCAGTTAGATTCTAACAGACTTTAAAAAGCAGATTTTTTTAAAAAAAACTGGTCTACGCAGTTATAGAATAAAAACCATACATCCACGCAGACAGTTCTCATTTCTCATCAGCGTATACAATAAAATTACTTCAAATTAGAGCTAGAACTTAATAACTTATACAAAAGACAGAGGGGGGAAGTAGATGTTTTTAACTGAAGAACAATGAGTTATCTGACACTCTGCAGTTAAGGTTATTAAAGTTAAATTCAAGCCTTATAGATAGATGTTTTTTGTGTCCCATGTAGCAGTAAGTGAAGAGCAGAGAAAGCTGAGTAGAGGCAAAGCAGAGCCCAAAGGGAATTTATTGGCAATTATATCTGTCACCAGGATAAATGTTGCTGAAGGCGCTATGGGGAAAAACTGACATCGACATAGAGAAAAAAAGAAGAAACGCTCAGGAGCGTGATGTTATATAGCTAATATCACTGGGAACCTGTTACATAATAAAAAAAATGAAAGTTGGCATTATTATCAGCTTTAGCAGCTGGTGGAAGAAATGGACAGGCCACAGTTAATTCAACTGCAGCTGTGCTGCTAACCTGAATATGGTGAATTATCTACTGAGCGGAGAGATGACAAATGAAATTCATTCCATAGATCCAGAGTTATTCTGGTAACCTTGCTCTACCTGAGGTAGATTGTTAACAGCCTCAGGAGCAATCCCATCTATGCTCTAAAATGAGATCAGCATTGATTTGCACTCATCTCTGGGAAATAAATTATTGGAATCCTCTCCTCTCCCCTCCTTCTTCCCCTCCTCTTCCTAATGCCTTGGCTTGGCCAATGGAAGAAGACACCAATGCTTCTATTATTGTTAGTTTTGATGTTTAACCCACCTTTATTATTTATAAAGAACTTAATGTGGCAAATATACCTAATACTCTTCCCTCCTCCTATTTTCCTCACAACAAACCTGTGAGGTGGGTTGGGCTAAGAGCAGTGGTGGGATTCAGCCAGTTCGTACCAGTTCAGCAGAACTGGTAGCTAATTTTTTGTTGCCCAGGCCCAGAATGGACTTCTGGAAGCGGCATCCACACAGAGAACTGGTTGTTCACATATTTGAATCCCACCACTAGCTAAGAGAGAATGACTGGCCCAACCCAGCTGATTTTTCATACCTAAAGCAGGACTAGAACTCACCGTCTCCTGGTTCCTAAGCCAGCACCTTAACCACTACCTAAACTAGCTACGGAAGCAGGGGAGGGTCTTTCTCAGGATACACGATATAAGGTTCACCACTCAGCCACAATATTTTAACTTCCTTTTGTTAACTAAAGCAACATTAATGTCATATGTTAATTACATAGAATTGGTTTTGCAGCCTTCCCCTCCCCCCCCTAAATTTTTCCAATAATTTAATTATGTTTATTTCAGGGAGAAGTTGTTGCTGAGATGAGATGTTCCTCTTTTCCCTACCCCTTTTAACAGTTATTTATTTTCCTCTCTAACTTCTTTGGAACTCTGTCTGAATTTTTTGGGACTGTGTTTCATCAGTCTGGGAAAAATATGCAATCCCTGTGGTTCTCTTTCATGCAAGATTCTTAGTCAGCCTTCTCTTTGAAATGCTTTACCAATGGGGAAATTGCAGAAATGTATTTCAGGCCCAACTTTCAGCCTCCACAGGGGTATTTTGTGTGTGTGTGTGTGTGTGTGTGTGTGTTTGCGTGCACATGTTCACTGTGTCTTCAAAATTGAAAATCAACATTTGAGTTTTTCAAAGACCTGTCCGACCTTTCTTTCCTTCTTCAAGAAATGTTTCGGCAGCTGAAATTTTACCACAGCACATTTATTTATTACATTTCCTGTATGTGTTGCCCATCTTACCAATAAAGGGACCCTGGATAGCTTACAGGTGATAAAAAGCTAAATGTGAAACAAGTAAAATTAAGAAGAGTTTTGTAAGAATTAAAACCAAAAATAAGAGATGCAATGTTGTCATTCCCATCATTGCATTATTTGCTGGTGAGGTCAACAGCTGTGCCTGCCCTTACCCGCCCAAGTTCTTTGTCTTCCAAAGCCAGGACACCGGTACTCTCCGTAAACAGCTTCACCTTCACAGCTGGAAGGGCGTGTGTCGTGGAAAAGTCACCCTGAGTTCCCCAGCTGTGAAAACATCCACAAGAAAGACATTAGGAAAAAAAAAAAGAAGAAGCAGCAGCAGTTTGCCACCTCAGCACTGTCACCTTGGAGGGGAAAAGGTTACCGCAAATGTCACCAACTGTCATATATAGAAAAAGAAAAAAGCATCAGGAGTGCCATTGTGCTAATTAATTAATGTGGTAAAAAACCTGCAAGACAACAACTCAGCAATGTTGAAAAACTCCCTCTGGAAAGGCAAGATGCTAACACAAAGCCAGTGGTAGCAAAAGGTATGCTTGCACTTGGGTTTATTTTGCAACTCAGTAAAAAGAAGGCTGATGAAAACAGTGCGTGTAAGTTGAAGGCCTATTGCAGTTAGATGGTGATCACCATGATCCATAAAACTGGAGAAATACAAACGAATACAAATACTACCCATTTCCAATGTATAGGATTTTTATATTCTGGATTCAAATCCTAGA